TAGAGCACCGAAAAACCGCCTGTTTTTTATATATTTTTTCTACGGATACATTAATAATAAGGAACCGTACTGAAAGAAATATTAAGTGCTACGTGGTGACATAGCTAATGTCTGTTCAGTAATATATCTGTACCCTTAGCACGAACCAATATCGAATTCTAATTATGATGCGCGAAAAATGTCAAGATGTTTTGTTTGGAAAGATGAACAACGCCACATAGATCGTAACGAGTATTAAAATGTTCCATACAAAACTTCTAGACATTTTACGCGTATTTAAATCAATTCAACTATTGGGTTTCGATATTGGTTCGTGCTAAGGGTACAGATGTCATTTCAATCTTAATACCAATGTCACAAAATCGACAAAGCAAATCTTTTAATACATATACGTAGGACACTCAGAAAGATTTGAGAAACTAAAAAACTAACTTCTATGAAAAAAATATTTTTATTGAATCTTTTCATAGAACTCTCCACCTCTATACAAAGTTTCGTGCTTCTGAATCAATTTTGAAAACATTTTTTCCAGTCCTCCGCAGACACCTCTTCCACGGCCTTCTAAAACGCTGCTAGCGCTTCTTCCGGCTATGAAAACTGTATGAGGCCTTTGGGCTGATTTTTTACTTTAGGAAATAAAAAGAAGTCACATGGAGCCAAATGAGGACTGTAAATAGGGTGTCCCAAGACTCTGACTGGTGTGGGGTCCCGGAAGTCCTTTGTTTTGATCGCAGTGCGCGGGCGCGTTGTCGTGGTGAAGAAGGACCTCGCGGAGCCCGGTGTTCGATCGCTTGTTGCTCATTGCAGAAGAAACTTCTGGCAGGTATTTTGTACCATTCGGCGTTGATGCTGCTTTGGTCTCGAAGTGGAATTGAAATTAGGTACCCCGTCAAAGTGAAGAAATTAGCGATCAAAATGTTCCTTGCGCTCTTCGATCGCTTCACTTTCGTAGGCGTTGGTTCATTTTGAAACAGCCAAACTGTCGACTGACGCTTTGTTTCTAGATCGCATTGATAAATCCAGGTCATCACCTGTCACAGTATCGTTAACGCGCCGTGACGTGCCTGCATCAAATTTTTGTACCATATCATAGCACCAATCGACACGGGCCTGCTTCTGAGCTTCGGTCTTTCGGAGCTAATGCAAAGGTGCTAGTGCAAAATCTTGTGAACATTTCCTGAACTAATCTGCAGAGTATGCTGAATCTCTTCGTACGTAATTCGTCTGTTTTCTTGAATTATTTTTTTTACTGCCAGCACACTTTCTTCGGTGACAGCCGTCATAGGACGACCACTCCTTTGTTCATCCGGTAGATGGTTGCTTTTGAAGGTCCTTCATCTTTGACAATCGAACAGTGCTATTTTTTCATTTAAAATAATCGAAGTTTTCAAAATAATTTACAAGTGGCCAATGTCTTATACATAAAAACTTATTTTCGCAAACTTTCTGAGTGGCCTGGTACCTATCTCTAACTATTGGCGTATCACGATTAAATTCGAAATGTAAAGTAAGTAACACGAGTTTATTAAGTCCTCCAAAAAAAGTCTTCGCGTTATCGCAATTGAGCGGCGCTCCCCTTACATATTAAAACCGCGGCCTAAATTAAAATGTAAAACTCGCCCGAATTACGCCCTTGTGTAAAGTGAATAAGATAAATGTGAAGAGGCAGACTCGCTGTTTAACGTGAAACGTATCACAGAGATAAATTAACCACAACGTTGATTCGAATGGGGTTTCACGGGATGTGCCCGTTACGTCGATTTAGTGTTGAAATAAAAGCCTGGGAGCGTGTAATGTGTTTAAGTTGACATCCCGGAATGCGGTTGATGATTAGAGAATGTGATTTATTTCTTTGTTTGTGTCGGACAAATTACGCACTTGTACTTATTATAGGAAAATCTAGATGTGCAACAAGCTTATGCATATTATTAGCACAACTAAGGACTGTGGACTTTACTTACGTTTGATATTATGTGGAAGTTTTTTATGTTAAAAGTGTTGCATAGTGGCATATTATAGACTGATGGTAAGCGATTGATATAATATACGTAGTACTGGATACACTTAAGTTTCACTCCCACCGTTGCCTATTCTGACTATAAGGCCATGCAAACTTAACCACCACATAAAAAGTTATTGAACTGTGATTTTACGCGCGACCTGATAAGTGGATGATTAGTCCGGTCAATTTAGACATAAAATAGGGATCAATTAACAAAAACCCCGACAGAGCCAAATATTGGTGGAGACCTTTGTTTTACCCTTATAAATAAAAATTTAAAAGTCCCCATCAATCCCATGCGAGCTTCAAAAGTTATGCGGGGCCAAAGGTCAAAATTTTAAGTTTTTTGACTTTTTCTCAAAAACGGTAAGTTTTATCAAAAAAATAAGTAAAGTATGAATCAGATTGAAATGTGAAAAGAAATTAGAACGGCAATTAAATTCAAATTAATTGAGAATATGTAATTTAGATCAATTGATTGTGCTGGTGTGACGATGTACGCGCTTCCTCGTACAGTTTCAAACTACACAACAAACATAATTTAAATAGACGTGGTTATTTCATCATAAAGTTTAGATGACTTTACAAGATATCATATCTCCCAGTTAGATGTGGAACTTTTAAAATAAACCATTAAATTCAAATAAGAAGAAAAGTATTCGCTTGTGTCGTACTAGGGCGCTTTCCTCACCAGGTCGGTGCGGGCTCTTTTTTTTTCTTTGAGTGTGTATGCTGTTTGTCGCAGATGACCTTTACAGTGTCACTGGGTTTGGGGACGGCGAGATCCTAAGGGGACCTCAAGCCGAGAATTAGCGAGCGCCTCTAGAGGTATTCTATTTTCCTCTCCGTCTAGAGCCTCTAAACCACTCGAACCTGAGGGGGTGCGGGCTCGTTTTGTTTTCGTTTCTGTACCGAATCTGTGCAGATTCTTTACCGAGATCCACTTCTGTACTCGGCTCGGTTTCGGTGCGGTATCGCTTCGTTTTTGTTTTACATGGTTTTGTTTGTGGGAGTGATGGGACGGGCGAGTCGATGTGTTCGGTAGCATTCGAAAGCACTCGGTAGTACTCGGTACAGGGAGCTGTGTGTCCGCTTGGTAAAGAATCTGTACGGAAACTACTCAGTGAGGGAGCTCTCATTTAATTATATGCATTCGGTAAAGAATCTGTACAAAAACGAAAATGAATCAAGCCCGCGCCGACCCGGTGAGAAAGGCGCCTAAGACTACAAAGTTTAAATACCGCTCGGCACGGTTCGTGGTCAAAGCGATAGTCTACGAGAAATTATTCATTAGCTTTTACGTTACCGAGATAGGCCTCGAACAATGTACCAAAGCTAATACAATCTTAAAAGTATTTTCGCCATTATTTATATACTATCATTCCAAAAAATGTTTGTACTAGTGGGTGCTCGTAATTTCGTCTGCTTGGTTTAATTGGTTTTCCATACAAATATCCACCCCACTTAAACTCTCTTAAAGGAAAATTCGGATATAAAACTATCCTATGTTCTTCTCCGGAATTCAAACTATCTCTATAAGTACCAATTTTCATCATTTAAATTAGATTGATAATTTATTTTGGTTTGGTGATTCAGTGGTTAAGCTAACAGTTAGACAGGCACACTTTCACATTTATAATAATAGTATGGATTTATCTGATATCCAAATAAATAACATATTCAAAACAAATCACACCAAGTCACAGATTACTTAATAGTTACTACGTACGAAGTGGAAGTTAAGTTCATAGGCAGGGCGCCTATAAATTTATTATCTCGAGCTCCTCCGTGCTTCGGAAAGCACGCAAAGCCGTTGGCCTCAGCTGCATCTGCAGTCACTAACACCTACTAATCTGTCTTGGGCCCTCGTGGTGGGTTGCACTTTCTTCTTATTCCATTCTTGGGGAAGACCCGTGCACCAGCCGTAGGAACGTCAGAACAATGCCATTTTCTTTTGATAGGCTTATAATATAGGGATATCTTAGCAGATGGCGTATCATCATATGCTTTTATTGAAGTCCCAGACCAAGGTAGAAGGATTTAATTTTCAATTACTTTATGGCAAAAATATTTCAATCACACTGTGAAAGTTATCGTCATTACAGATTTATGTAGGTAGGTATCTGCTTTGCAACTCAAGAGTAATGAGTGCCATATGACTTGATAAGTAAGACTGCTCTCTGATTCACCTAGTTTTATGTAGTTGGTCAACAATGACAATTAATTACTACCACCACCCGTCTCACAATATTGTGGTCAACCTCGGCTTACACCACAATATTGTTCGTGACGTTAAATTAGCGATGGTAGTTAGAAAGGCGATTTGTTGATTTGATTTCTATTACTTTCAAGAAGGGATAGTCTGTAACAGGTTTTTCAGCTTTTAATATTCATTGTGCTAACCTATTAAGTCATTATCAAGTTATGGCGGGCCAAGATAAAGAAGAATTAATTATTATTATTTCTATATATAACACGCGTTAACTTAAAATAAAAATAAGCTAATTTTCCTTCGTAAAAATGTTATAAAATAAAAGACTATTTTGATTGTGAAACGCTAATTCGCTATTGGACTTGTAACACTTTGGTGTAATGTACCGAGTTTTTGTAACTCAAACCAAAGACCAACTTGTACCGTTACTCTGTAAAGTACCATTCGCGGCAAGTGTCGCGTGCTCCACGCGACTGTCAGTTTTTTTCGCGAATCCGTTTGAGAGTTTAGTACATACATACATAAACATAAAGTCGCCTCGAAGGGTACATTACAGACAAAAGATACAAGCCATTCTTCAGCTTAATATTACACCACTAATCAGTTTGTGATATCACATTATATTGTAAAGAAAATGTCCACGATAGGCAACTAAAAAAAGAAAATGTAAAATTTATAGAGTAACCAAGAAAATACCGTTGAAAATAAAAAAAGAATCACACCGCAATAAATATAGAAACGATAAATCGCCACTTAAACCTCAGCACGTTACATAGCAAATTACAAATGTGCCAAAGAGGAAATTGGATAATAAATCTGTTTGTTATACTTTGTTACTTAAGCACGACCATTTCGCTACCTTGCACGGAGCAAAGTAACAGTGGGTTGATAATTGTTAATAGGAAATTTAAATTACTTCAAATTTCATTGGCTGTTTTGAGAACGTCCTTGTGTTCTTCCAGATACTAATCAAAATTTGCCAAAAGACTGGCCGTGTTCCTGGAATGATGGCGTTATACCGTTTGTTTTGGATTTGTTCTCAGTGAGTAAGTAAATATCTCATTTCATTATGTTTTGCCTATTAATTGTAACCTTCAATTGATAGATCAAATTTAGATTTTTAAAGTTTTATTGTGTATGTATGAATTTATTACTTAATTTAGTTAATAAAGTACTTTATTTAAAATTATTTTTTGTAATTTTGAGTTTATTTATTTGACCCTAACTACCGTAAACTACCACCGGTTCCAAAATTGAGAGACCTTTCTGAGAAGAACCGGCGAAACAAACTCAAGAGAGGGCGGGCCTCTCTAAACTTTAAAAATCTAACAATGAAATAACCGAACGCTCGATAAAAGTCTTACGAAGGTGGCTCGACAAAATTAAATAAAAAATCATTATTCTGACGAAGCAGACCTGAAAAGGCTGCGAAACCTCAATAAATAAATAAAGTTTCGTGCATTAACCCGTTAAAACTAGTTTAATTTAATAATACTTATAAGATACTGATAATGACAGATATAAGACTGAAAACTTAAAGAGATTTTTTGTTTCAAAAGAACTTCAAATTTATATATCAGTGAAATATCATTACCTTTTGGTGGTGTTGTGTTTCGGTCGGTGAGTATGGTTCCAGGGCTCCACGGGATTAGGTTTGGGTCAGGGAAGGCAACGGCGCGAGTGATTTTATTGGTATTACAAGCGTATAAAGGTCATGGTGGCCGCTTGCCCTCAGGCGGGCCAAATTCTTGTTTGTCATAGTTTTAATTAAAAACAACAACCTGTTTTTAAAAGCAGGTAGCCTGTGGTCTGTCCTAACTATTATTTTTTAACCCGTAGATTCTGCTGCAGGGTAAGGATACTTTGAACATGCTGCAGAAACGGGATTCCAGATTCCAGCCCTCGTGAAAAATTTACAGGATATGGTCAAGTGGGGGACATTGTAACAAGAAATATGTCTGCCCTTTTCTAATTTTGTCCATGGTCTGTCTTGACGTGTTTTATTAGTTTCTAATGCCTCTATCTTAAGGTGCTGTCCGACGATCTGTGTTGTCTCGGGCGAGGCCGCGCCGCGCAGGTTTGCGCGCAAGTTTGGAACTCTAACGTTCGACATTTAGCAGTATCTAAACATGATATACGACGTAAAAGTAAGTTCTTATACGTGTGGCAACCCTGAGCGGCGCGGCCTCGCCAGCTCATCGGACAGCACCTTTAAGCAGCTGTCATCAGACGTCAAATGGCCGGATATAATCCAGAGATATGCCCCCCCCCCACTTTTGACCCCACTTAGTACAATGAAGAAAAACACAAATTCGTATAAAATTCTGGTTTCCCTTATATCTTACAGGCCCTCACCGATTAATCAATTTGGTCAAAAAAGGACATGAATTTATAGAGATTCGATCATGTCTTCGTTTTAAAGAGTACGATCCAACTATTGCGGCTAAAATCACTAACTTCACCTACTTATATTACACATACTCCGGGGTCTTGGAGAGCTGTTGCTTAAAATTCTATATTAAGCCATACGGACGACGGGTGCGTAAAAATAATTAACTACGTGCTTAAAAATAATACTATAATTAACTACAGGTTATGATCCATTATCATAAGTCAGGATCACAGGCCTTCCCTGTGGCCGTAATAGAGAGAGCAGGCTACTGACATCCCTGCCGCAGTGAGAATTTAGGGCGCACGGCAGTCGGGGCAATATCGGCTTGTCTCTACACAAGTGCCTGCTATTCAGTGTTCGGTTGTATGTTGAGCTAAATACACACATTGATAATGCCCCTGTATTATCAAAAAAGGTAGGGCCTTGGCTTTTTCTATTTTAGCGCAAAAAAGGAAATACTGGGTGAAGCATTGGCAACAGAAAGAAATGTATTGTATAATAAATAATGGTTGTTTTTTTATCCCACATATGGGGCCGGTCTTCATATACTTCTGTCACTCGAGACCAAACTTAATGCATATTATGATGTGCCGCCATCTTGATCGAAATACGTGCGCTCCGTGTGACAGTTAACAACCAACTGATTGAGAAATTGCCCCGATCGCGCTACAAACGCGGCAAAGTGCAGGGCGGCAGGGACAAACTAGGTACCAAGGGTGGTCTCACGCCCCTGCCGCCCTGCCGCAGGGCCAGTTTAGAAAATTGCCCCTCATTGCCTACACACATCATAATTAAGGGTCATCCCCATTCTTACGCCCTAGATTGTTTCTGCGGCAGGGATGTCAGTAGCCCGCTTATAAGCCAAGACCCACCAGCTGCTCAGGTGGTTTAGTAGGCACTATCAATAGCAAATAACATCTTTATATACTTACACAGAGGTGTTTAACATTATTCAATCTTGACTAACTGGAGAGGAGCTCAATGGCGCAGGTAATTGGAGCATTTAGCCTGCGATCGTGGAAGTTAAACAACTTTCGCAATGGTCTATCATTGGATGGGTGACCAAAAACTTATTATCTCGAGCACTTCCGTGCTTCGGAAGGTACGTTAAGCAGTAGGCCCCGGCTGTATCTGTAGTCGTTAGTCCCCATCCATCTGCACTGGGTTCGCGTGGTGGGTCAAGGCCGAATCTACCTATTCCATCTACAGTGAAGGCCTGTGCCCCAGCAGTGGGGACATTAATAGACTATGCTGATAATGATGATGAATCTTGGTCATTAATCTCGCAATCGGTAATTGCGAAAGTGGCTTAACTTCTACAATCGGAAATCGAACATGCTAACCACTGTGCATCGAGATCCATAAAGCTTTGCGAAGATAGTGATGTAAATAATACTTCAACTTTCAAACAAAGAAAACCATTTTGTGACTTTAGCGGATATCTACGAATAGGTAGCCACATAAAAAGGAAAACTTATTTTTCTTATTAAATGTATTAACATTTCCCTTAATTCACTCCGCATAGAAATAAGCAATTCACGAATATTAAACTATACAGACATTCACAGAACGAGAAACATCAACCGTTAAAGGAATAGGTGGTAATATCTACAATCAAATGCGATTCGTATTCCATCCGTGCCATCTTAAAAGGTTAATAACCTCAGATAATAACTAAAGGCAAGGAATAACACTTGCAATACAGCCATTGCCATGGCAACGTTCCATGCATAGAAATTTTTAACCCTCCCTTTTATATTTTAACTATAACAGTTTATGGCAAATGTCTATCGTTATCTTTTACAGTTTATAGGACACAACATCTGACAGACGGACGGACAGACAGTGGAAGCTTAGGTACAGGGTACCATCGTTCTTTTGTACGGAGCCCTTAAAACTAAAATGATCAAAACCAGTTGTATTTCTAATGACACCGGCACCCTCTGTAATTCATGGCTGTGCCGCTGGCCGATGCAACAAAAAATATGATTGACGATGCTATCGTGCTTTTGCGCCTGAGGCCATATTACGGACTCTTATATCCAGACAAAAATAGCGGTTGAAGCGGGATGCCGCTTTATTGTGCGTTTGTGATGTCTTGATCTAACAACAAAAGCCCAAGCACGTTCAGATCCGTAATCGTATCGTCACCGTCAAAATTTGTATTGAAGGAACCAGTTTCTTCTTACATCCGGTCGAGGCGCTGCTTAGTTTTCATAGAAACTTTGACTATGCGATACTATGACGAAACTGTCAAAGTTAGGCCTCAGCACTTGCCAGGCGTTATGAGGCTGCACTGCAGAAACATGAATTAAGTTTTAGATGTAAATAAAGTTATCGCTCTCTTTCTTTGTGATGAAATTAGAATAAGACAGCATGTGACTTCCAATGATATTCCGTATATATGACGTATCTGATCGTGGCCATTATATTAAGAGTTTCGATATTATCGTGGTCGACATCATCACACATATGATACTACTCGATAGTTTTACTCGAAAGCGAGTAAAGATCCACGCGTGGACCGCAAAACTCACAACTCGAAGGTTGGTTCGTAGGACTCTTTTTAATCCTATGTTAGCCCCACAGAACACAGAAAGAGGTTAGAATGACCTTGTGGGCGAGGCAGGTGCGCCACAGTGCTCATAACTTGCCAAAACTTGCTTCTGATTGTGTAGTTGCTCTCGGGTGTGAGCGCTGATTGGTTCGATTGTTTGATGTCGCGTCGTGTGATTAGCTATTATCTATTAGGTGGAAGTATAGTGGGGGCGAGCCAGCGACATCAGTTCTCGTACAAACGGTATATGATCACCCTTCTAACCCTTTTCTGTGTTCTGTGGTTAATTTTTACTTCCCCATTGATTATATGAAATTATTTTGGTTACAGTTAGTAGTTATAACCCCATTATGCAATAAGCCAGCTGAAACGGGCCACGCTACTCTTCACGCCATGGGGTTGTTTCACGGTAAGAACCCTGGATTTCATAAAAACGAAGCAAGGGCGATAATGTTCCCAGAGAAATGTGCACAACGCGAGGAAGCATTAATTATGTTTGAAGGAAAATAATGTGCACAGAATAAAAACATTTTTTTTCGTATCTTCGAAATGTTAAGAGAATAAAATCTAAAAAATAATTAACATTTAATTTTTATCTCCAGTTTCCTTTATCGTTTGAATTAAAATCACGGAATCATACAAAAAAATGAAATTTCTCGCTCAATTCATTCATTAACCTTTTAATTACCAAGATTTTTAGACATTTTTTCTCTGATACCGTTTTATAAGATTCGGCTTGAAGAACAACAGGAAAAAAAGTACTTTTATATTTATACAATTACTAAAATTTGTCTTGTACGCAATTTTATTTTATTTATCTGAAAACTAGACATTATTATAATATATAAACTATTTCCTATATAGTTTAACAGCGCTCTGGATTAATTTTATAAGATGTTTGTTAAAATTTAACAAGCAATAACGTCCTACTTGTTAGTAGGTAAACGTTTGTATTTCGTCAAGCAAGCAAGCCTCCCTCGAAGCGGCGATTTGAACACAAAAGAGTCTAAGACAGACAGAGAGCATTTAAACAATATTTTCTCAAAATCAACAAAGTCTCAGTGGTCTTTGTTATTTTATAGAACGATGTCATTCGTTTCCCCCTACAACTGTGTATGAAAGAAACATCAAACAATGGATGTATTCCGGACAAATGCTGGTCCGTTCGTTCATGGAAAATAGCACTTAGCTTCAAAGTAGAAACTCGTTTAGATTTATAAAACAAACAGGGTTGTATTAGTCATTAGTTTTTCTTTAAATAGCTATTCGAATGCCTCGAGTAAGAATGTTGGAAGCGGCCAATATAAGATGAGCTTCCCCTTGGCTCTCTTTCCAGTGTTAAAGAAATATTTTACAAAGGTAACGGAGGTCTTAAGTGCTGGTTAGGTTATTGTCCGATCGGACTGCGTTTGCTGGTTAGGTAAACATGGTGCTAGAGATAGTCTAGACCTTAACGATGTATGCTGTCAATACTTGTTTTTATCTGCTTCTTTACCCATACATAAGAGTAAGATGAAGATAAGATAAAAACTCTTTATTGCACAACACAGTAACAAAACAAGCAGATACAAAACAAGTAGAAAAATAAAACATTTCACAAAGGGCGGTCTTGTCGTTAATGAGCGATTTCTTCCAGACAACCCAACTTACGAATACTTCAGAGTACTTCTTATTCACACCTAATCCATCCAAAACCAAGACTAAATCACACAGGTTATGCTGGGCTTATTTTGGAGAAACGCCTAAAATGAGTAAACAAACTCAAACTCAATGACTGTAATGAATAGAAAACATATTAATGGATTTAAGTTAGAAGCATATTTTTATCTTTACATTTTACTTATTTGAAAAATAAAAACTTATTACAAGTCAGAGTATTTCCAGTGTTTTTCTGTAGATAAGATGGAATGTGTAATGGTCCGTACTCACATATGGTATTACGTTATAGTTTCACGGAATAATTTGTCGGAGCTATATATAAAAAAAAACTCTAATGCGAGTAAAAATCAATGCTTCGCGTCCTACGAACGGACCTTCGAGTTGTGAGTTATTCGGTCCAACAAGTTGATTTTTACTCGCTTGAGAGTAAAACCAGCAAGTCATACCGTGTGTGAATACGAACCATAATATTACAGCCTATACTTCATTCAAGTACCGTGAACTTCAAATAAGAAGATGAATAGTATTGATTGTAAGGTCCTTGTCCTATTTACTATCTACTGAGAAATCGAACTCTTGTGCCTCTGTTATTTCAGATTTACGATTACAATTGTCTTAGTTACCACTGAGGCACTAAACAGAGAGTATAGAGTGTAATCTCATTTATGTACTTCACGCTTAGCAGTCGCGCTAGGATTGACGTTGAAGACATTGGCTTATGCACAAAAACTATCGCGGTAGTGGCACTCGCATCTAGTTGTTTGATTTATTATTTTGTTCTATTTGAATTAATCACTGAAAACCAGTGCTTTGCTCTCAGAGCAAAGGTATCGCTGAGTGTTTGGCTTTTTCTGTCGTTGCGGCACAGATTTACATATTTAGTAATTCATTCTACTATTTGTTTACTTGAATTTGTGTGCATGATGGGAATAAATGATTTATCTATCGATCTATTTAGTGTCCAGAATGAAACGGAAACAACTGAAGTTTAAACCAATAATAATTAAAATAATTAAATTTAAATTGTTTTTGTTATTATTACAAATAAAAATAAACGACAATTCACCGTTAAATGTTGAATTGAAACAATCGTGTATTGAACGGGTCTACCTTGTTACGCAGAACTTTTTTAATGTCATTATAATATTATTATGCATATCAACGGATAGCATAAACTTCATTTCGCAGAAAATCATTTGGCATTCACTTATTGAGCATACATTCAAACACGTAATTTTGTAAGCCAGAATCATCTTTAGGCATAAATTTTACATCCACAATAATTAAACAGCAGTACCATCATATCGCAGAAAGTTCACATCGACTTTTAACATACAAAAATTTAGCTTTCCCTTGTTCATTTATTTATTATCTATGGATGCTGGCACTTCGCCGGCCGCTGCTGCGGCACGCTCGCTGCGTTCGTTCTACACATTCCAAGATTGGGTCACAGCACTAACCTAATCTAACCTACTGACCATAAATACCGATTATGCTTAGCGAAATTGTGCAGAATAAAATTTTGCCATCTTAAAAGTATGCTATTGTGAATTCGGAATCATAAACATTCGGCCAATTATTAATTATATTTAATTATACATAATTATACTTAATAAAATATGCCTTAAAAATATTCGTTTAAAGAAAATTATGCCAAGTGTATTATGCCAAATCCATTTCGGAGCAACAAGATTCTACCAGATCGAGGGAACCCCTATTAAACAGATATATTAACGTATTCTTTATTGTCCCATTTTCCAAAAAAAAGTTCATAGACGCGTGTCTCGAGCGGATGGAACTCGAGCTCGCAGTGGTCTTATCTTGTTTGAGATATCGCGTCCGTAAGCAGTGTCTATGTGTGCGTTGCTCGAGCGCACTTTTTTTATAGATTACCGTCTGTACTGTCTATTTTTGGCTGAGGTGTGTAAATAAAAATGATTAGTGGCTTTCTGCTACAAATAACTGAGTCAGACTATTCGATATTTAATCTGCCGATGGAAACAAGACTAAGGGGTTCTCAAAAAACGTTACCGCGGGCGAAGTCGCAGGCGGCTGCTAGTTGCTGAATGAAATCGATGAATAACAAATAAAACAAACAAATAAACGAAGTTTGTGATCTACCTCCTTCTTAGGACCTCGGTCGGTTTATCAGTTCTGTGAAATGACGAATGATATCATGTTTCACAGAACTGTGTAAATATAACTGCTGGAGTTCTCCAAATCATTGTTTATGAGTGTATTCCGATATTTATGATTCTTAAGATAGGTACAAACTAGAGCATTTTCTTGAGCATTTTTAAATATTACTAACATTCACACCAAAAAAAAACTTTTGGTGATGTTGTACTTCTGTCGGTGTGTAGGATTCCAGGTCTTAACGAGTTAGGTTCTTGGGTTAGGCGACGGCGCGATTAATATTTTTTGTATCGCAAAATATCATCTATAGGCATATAAGACGTAACACGAATAATCACAACAAATCAGTCTCGCATATGACCAATGAACGAATTGACATTTTGTTTAAACTAAAATAAGCTTATTTAAAAACAATTTTGAAAGATGGTTCAATTCTCCCACCTAGACAAGCGGTATTTCTGTACACAAAATAATCGACTCTGTGTCCAATGTGATCCTCAAGGTAAAAGAGCTTTCATAATCATCACAGCCTATTAATATCCCCACTGCTGGGGCACAGACTTTTCCTATATGGATGGAATTGGGAGATTGAGCCGAGACCCACCTCGAGTGGTGGGTGCTAACGACTGCATATGCAGCCGTGACCAACGGCTTAGCGTGCATTCCGAAGCACGGAGGAGCCCGAGATGATATGTTATGGAATACCCATCCAATGACCGACCATTGCGAAAGTTGCCTAACTTCTCGAGCTCCTCCTGCGAGCAAGAACGACGCGAACTTAAACTTTAGTAACACGTCTATTTTGCGCCAATAGATGCATTGTTTACGGATTGATGAGTAAAACCAGGATATAGCAAAGCATAGCTCGATGACGCATGTGGTTAGCGCGTTCGGCTGCGACCGTTGCAGTTATACAACTTTCGCAGTGGTCGGTCATTGAATGTGAGGATACAAATTTACTATATCGAGCTCCTCCCTGCTTTGAAGTGCACGTGAAGCCGTTGGTCCTGGCTGCATCTGCAGTCGTTAGCACTCACCAATCCGCCCAATCTTCCTATTCGATCCATAAGGAATGCCTGTGCCCAAGCAATGGGGACAACAATAAGCTGGTGATGATGCTCGCATTTGGACTCATGAAATGGTGATACATTAAAGCGACTTGTTCTACAGGAGGGCCCATAAAACTGATTTGTAACAACTTATCCAGCTTTGATAACAAATAAAATATTTAGTCTGCACTCACCTTTAAGACGTAAACCAAGTAGATACCTTTAATATTCAAATACCGAGAAGTTTCGTCAGAAGATCGACCATCCCGATATTTATTGGAATATTTATTAAAGAAACTGTGAAATTCATTTATTATGAAATCATATTTTCTATATTGTTATATTAAATAAGACTGAATTATTATCCACACCCAAAATGTTGAAACATATTTAGGGACCTGACCTAAGGTATTATTTTCTAAGGATTATTTAATCCATTAAACTTAGGCCCACCCTTAAAATTGGCATCAATTAACGATTCCCCGGTATTTATTTATATTTAAGCTAGCGGCCGCCCGCGATTTCGTCCGCGTTATGAGAATCCCACAGGAACCTAACGTATTTCTGGGGTAAAAAGGTATCCTATGTCTCAATCTAGGTCATAGACATACAAACTTTCACATTTATAATTTTAATAGGATATGTGACAAAAATAAACACATAAGCAATGCTTAATAATTACTATATTTTGTTATAGTCATGACTCAGACTATGTAAATATTTGTATTTTTTTATCGTTACAAAATTACTTCACATGGTAAATTTCTGTCTATATTATTATTATTATTTCTTAAGGGACAGAAGAAATGTTTAATTCCTATAATGAATTAATTATACATAATATAACAATAAATTAAAGAGCACGAAACGATAATTTTCATTTTTTTATTAATGTTATGTACGATGATCCCTTGGTATAAGAAAATATTGTAATCAATAAAAGTATACGATATTTATAAAATTCATTAAAATGTGATTATTTCTCATCTTCGCAATTTTCTCAAAGACTCCGCTATTAATTAAGGTACTTGTTCTGTCTGCTAGATTTATTAAAATAATAACGATATTTCACAGAAATTCACCTTCATTCAGAGAAAAAGAAGCGCAATTTTCTCAAAATGTCGCTTGGTGATTTGCAATTTAGAGCATGTTTTGCAATGAAAAGACTCGTTATGAACACACGTATCTTTAGAGCGCAATATCAAACGACAGACAAATATTTTAGTTTAACTTTATTTCTATAAATAATGATATGAACGCTGGTGCCTGCTTATTACATTGTCATTTGAAGAAAATTGAACATTTTTAGCTTCATTTCGCTTTGTCAATAAGATTCATAGTAAGTTAATCAGTAACGCATATTACTGACTGTACATGAATTAACGTTACTACAATAGACATTTATCTATGACATTCATCTACATCGTTAAAGACGGTACGAGTTTTGGTACATTTCATAAAAGGAATAAATAAATAAATATTTCCAACACTCCCACCAATCAGCCTAGCCCCAAAGTAAGCACTGTAGAGCCTGTGTTATGGGATACTAGGGTAACGGATAGAATACATATACTGTACATATATAAGTATATTTATATAGAAATAGATATTAAACATCCATTACTAAAGTACAAATGCTCGTATTCACCACACAAACATCTGCCCCCACCGTGATTCGAACCCGGGACCTCTCGAGTCGGCGACACCATGAAACCCGGCGTACAAACCGCTCGGCCACGGAGGTCGTCTTCGATCGGTGAGGTCGAGGTAATGTATTCTTGTAATAAATTAATAGGATAGCTATAAAGATAACGAGTCCAGATTGTGTCCAACGAACTG